ACTTGGGCTAGGGTGGTTCGTTCACCTATGAGTTAATACACATTATATATCCGTGCATTCCATGCATTAGCATATGTCAAGTGACGCGCATTAAGATCGAAGTATTGTTACAGGTTAGTGACCGATTATAAGAATTAGCTGCTAATCTGTAACTTGGGTTGGAGAAACGAATTAAACTAAAGTTAGTTTATTTATTAGTTTTCCAAGGTTCTGTGCCAATATCACTTTTTCTGCACCAAAAGCGTAAACCCTTAAATCGTAGTCGTCAAAACAATTATCTCACTTTTCTGGATCAAAGTGACAAACCCTGCAAATCGTTTTCATCTCACTTTTTCTGGATCAAAGTGGCAAACTCCTTTTTGTAGCAACGGATTTAATTATTGGAATGGAGGATGAAAAGGCACCATAAGAACTAATTGTACGCAAGTAAGTAATTATATTTTATTGCTTTATTGACAATTCTTCTGCCTATTCTCTAATTGCTCTTTTTCACTCTCATTATATACATTTTTAGTTTTCTATTTATGATGTAATTTATGGTGTAATTTATGATGTAATTTACGGTGTAAATTACAGTGGAATTTACGGTGTAATTGGCGGTGTAATTTGAATTGATTGACACAAATAAAGAAACACAAAAAAAAACAATGCGTTTCTAAAAGGAGGCTGTGTTACCAGTGTAACAGTACATGTACTACGTATGTAGTCATAACTGTGACTTCGTTCATGGGAATCACATTGGGTGTGCGAAATTTTACGTAGATCAAATTTTTATAGTATCGATCATTATCGTTACGAAACAAATATTATATGAGTCTAACCGCAATAATTCAACAAATCACATAATTTAACAGGTAATATTCTTACCTGGATGACCCGGGTCGCATTTTTTGAACGGGTCCAATCACTAAGTATTAATTTATTATTATAGAATCACAATAAAAGGATAAGGATAAAAAGTATCGGTATATCTTTTTAATTTGTTAGCATAAAAAAAAACAGTGTTTGTTTACTCATGCACCAGGAAAAAATTCGCTTCCTGCAGTCAAAATAAACATCGACAAAGCTGATGCCAATTTTTAAGATTCAAAAAATGAAAATTTCTTGAAAGTGTTTTGGATTAGTTGAGGCGTTGCTGAAAACAAGCAATATTATTATCAAATTTCAAACGGGGTTTTCCCAGTATTCTGTGGCTTTTGTTAATACATGACTTAACAAGTTGGCTTGTGGCTTTTTGTTAATATCATTAACCTTGATAGTCCGAAACCAACTTACTCGCACTTTTTTTTTATTACATGATGGGCAAATTTTACCTTCACACCTTGTCAGCATATAACCACTAATTTACTAGTTTTTTTTATTGGCTTGTGGCTTATTGTTAATAAATTTTGAGCTAACAGGTTGGTTGGCTTGTAGCTTTTTGTTAATAAATTTAGACTTAACAGACTGGCTTGTCGTTCAAAAATTCTCTTGAAAATTGCAAAATAACGAGCGAGTGCTTATAAAATCTAATAACTCCGAAAAGTCAACACTATACAATTATGTTGAAAACAATTTTCGCAGCATTCCTAATTACATTAATTGCTCAATTTGCAATCATCAACACTCAGGCAGCTCCTCTATATGGTGCAAACGTAGTAAAGTTAGAAAAAAGTGACTACTCTTACGGTGTAGGTTCTGCAGAAAAAAAATGGTGTTTAAACCCATTTCACACTTTAGACTGCGTCACAGCAAAAGATCTTGCAGACGAAGCATTAAAGAGCGCCCAAGATAACTTTTCTAACGATCAGCTGCATAATGGTCCTGGTGATGCATATCGCCACTGTTACTGGAGTGGGTTGCTAACATTTGAATTTGGTGAATCTGAGGCGAAAGGATTTGGCGATCGGCACGAAGATTTTCCAGAAAATCCTTCGGGTGAAAAAGCAATGGACTTACACAACAACGGCGTAGGCCGAACGATTGCTCAGCAACTGGATAAGGATGGGAAAAAAGGCAACAAAGCTGCGTTAAGTACGGCTTGTAAGCAGGCAGTCTCTGACGGGCGCTTGATAACTAAGCCTAACTGAATATGGTATCCGTTCTTGGCCAAATTCAGTGTGCCCGATAACTTTTAGTAGCATTTCTGCAGTCTTTACCACACTAGACGTTAGATTTTTTCTCATGCATGTACTTTTCATTATCAATCATTTTGTAATATGTATTATCCATCGATCAATAGTCCAAGCGCTAAAAAAACGAAATACGTACATGTAATTTCCAAGTCTATTTTTATTTACTAATAATGGTTAGCGTCAATTAAATTTTAGAACGTCAGCCAATCGAATTTCAATAAAAATTTGAATTTTAGATATCGATATTATTTTATATCATTATATTGACTGAATTTTTGATGCTCTGCTCTAGTAAACGTTTTTGCGAAAAGTGTTTAGTATCTTTAATCCCTCGAAAAATTAAAAAATGGATAATGTATATACACGATTAGAGTAGTATCTTACTAAGTCACAAAAAATTAATCCCTTTTAGATAATAAAAATCTTAACTTTGTAACATAGTATAAAGTATAAAGTAAAAGTGGTTAGTAATGTCTTCTAACAAAGAGTAGCGTTCTTATTTTATTGAATTGCTTCGTCGTGGATTTGCATTTTTTCTTGTAAATCATTCGATATCTCTTCATTCTCTATGATCTCGTATAATATCGTATGGTGTACTAAAATCGAAATCTGCTGGAATATACAAACCGACACTTAATTCACATAAATGTTATATACTGTACTTCAATTGCTTCTGTACCACGTAGTATTCAACCAATAAAAGCATAATTTCAACCAATCAAATTATAATTTCAAC